ATAAATCATCCCTTATGCTCAGAATAATACACAAGGGGTAAAGGTATTTATGAGTTTGCCAGATATTTTTTAAAATACATCAATGTTATGTATTGAAAACATTTGTAATTTGCTTGTATTCCCCCCCTGAAAACATTGAAAAACCATTGAAAAAAGGTAGGGGTATGAATTCACCGGACGAGAAATGTGACGATTTCGGATGCTAAACGTTGGTTCGGGGCTTGCAAATGTACGAGATTCCTATGTATAATGAAAAGATACACATCTATATTTAATTAGGACTTAGTTTATTTATTTGTTAGGGACAAACACTTCTAGTTGCGTAAACACCTCATTTCAAGTGTTTGGAGGGACCCGGGTGGCATTTAAGGACATGTGAAGCTTGGATATGGAGTTTACTCTTCAAGAGTGAACTTGCAAGAGGTTTTACGGCCCTAAAGACCATTCCCCATGAGTTTATGGCCGTAAACTCATGGGTGGTAAGTTATTGGATTCCAAATGGTCAAACAATGCACACGGGAAGTTATAGGGTCGATTCCATGGCATAGGAAGTGATTGGGACTTGAAATGACCTTGGAAATGAGTTTAAGGTCTAAGGAGATGTTCTTGGGGAGTTTACTACCTTAAACTCATGATTTGACAACCGTAAACTCATGTTTGTCCATGAATCAAGGGCCTTGGTGGTTGTAATTCAATCACATGTGATTCTAGTCCAACATATAAGCCATTCAAGGTGATAAGGGCACTTAAACACCCATTTGAAGAGTTTATGGTCTAGCATGATGAGTTTACGGTCTAAGAATGTTCTTGGATCATAAACTCTAGTTTGTTCCATTTATGAATGTTTTGGTGCATTTCTTGAAGGGTTATACGTTTTATATGCACTCATGGAAGTTCATTGAAGGTGTTTAGGGGCAAACTAACATCCAAAATGGTGTTTAAGGTCTAAGATTGAAGGTTTACGGTCCAAGCATGTTCTTGGACCGTAAACTCATGTTTGGTCCCTTCTTGTATGACTTGATGCTTCAAATGATGAAGTAGAAGGTCCTAGACACGTTTGGAAGCTTGTGGTGGTGTTTAATGGCCTTTTTAACACCTTAAGAGGTGTTTATGGTTCATGCATGGGGGTTTACGGTCCAAGAAGGTTCTTGGGCCATAAAATCATGTTCATACATCAAATGTCATGATTTTTGGGTCCTTATTCCATGCATGCAAGTTTCTAGGTCGAATCTAGTCCCTAGAAGTGTTTTGGAGGGGTTTTGAGGCTTCAAAACCCTCATTGAGGTGTTTACGGCCTAAGGAGGGTTCTTAGACCATAAACACATGTTCATATGTGTTTTGGGTGATTCCAACATGAATTTTCAAACCAATTAAGTTATATAACAAGTTTAGGATGGATTTCTTACCAAATAATGCTTGAAATGGGGTTTTTGAGCCAATTCGAGTTCTAGAGAGAGAGTGTAGTGAGAGAAAGTTTTTAGAGAGAGGGAAAAAGCCTCAAAATGATGTCACTCAATCCCTTATATAGGGGTTGAGTTTGTGGCCCGGTGGAATTCTACCTGATACTGTCGTTAGATGATGCTTTTTGGTCGCACCCGATTAATTTACCGTAATTACGATTTAGACGAAACTAAATATTTTCTAAATGAAAATAGAAAATATTTTAATGAATTTAAAGTATATCCCGAAACTTATTTAATTTAATATAAGTCTAAATAAAATAAATTAAATTAAATCAAAGTTAACGGAAAAATTTGGGACGACACGGCTTAACTAACGGAATCCGGTTAAAAGCGATGGAATAAATTTATGGGGTGTTACACCAACCCTAATAAAACCCAAATCTCATTTAATATATAAATGACTCATCAGTTTCAGTAGAGGGGGATGAATTTAAGCTTTCATTTTCATCAAACTCTTACAAAATCTATCTAGAAAATTGGCTTATGATTTCTGTGCCTAGAATCATAAGTGTCCACTTGGATTATCCTAGGCTGAATTTCTTGCAACCCAGTCATATGGTAGAAATATCACTTCGGAAAGTGCTCTCACGATCCAAGTTAGTATCTTGATCTCCACCATAAACCCTTAGATTTCTTACAATCGAACTGATATTATCTGTTCCTGAAGATAGGTGATTAAATCCGCGAGATAACCACCAAGTTTGCAAAGCTGGAGAAGTTTGAAGGTGTTGACTTCAGGCGATGGAAGAAGAAGATGCACTTCATGCTAAATACTCTGAAGGTAGTATACATGTTGATTACTCCTAGACCAACGGAGCCTGAAGAAGGTGTTGTTAAGACAATTGAAGAGATAAGAAGGAGATAAAAGTGGGACATTAATGACTACATTTGCAAAGTTCACATTCTGAACGGTATGTCTGATGCTTTATTTGATATCCATAGTGAAGCCTTGTGTGCCAAGGAGTTGTGGGACACCCTTGATTTGAAATATATCACTGATGATGCTTCTAGCAAGAAGTTTCTGGTCAGTGATTTTAACAATTATAAGATGGAAGATTCAAGGTCTGTTACTAAACAATAGAATGAACTCCTTGGCATATACGTTCAGTTTAAACTGCACCGTATGAATATGGATGAATCTATTGTTGTGTCAACCATCATTGTCAAACTGCCTCCATCCTGAAAAGACTTCAAACACAACTTGAAACATCAAAAGGAGGAACTATCCTTGGTTGAACTTTCTAGTCACATTCGTATTGAAGAATCTCTTCGTGTGAAGGAAAGTGAAAAATCTGAAAAAGCCAAAAGAAAAGTTGAACCTGGATAGCCCTCTGTTCATATGGTTGAAAATAAACCAAGGAACCAGAACCACAAAGGACATGGAAAACGCAAGCAGGAACATGTCCTTAGCAACTCCAACAAAAAGAGAAAGGATCTAGTTTGTTGGAGGTGAAATCAAGTTAGGCATTGTAAGCGTGATTCTCGTGTGAATTTAGGCAACAATGGTGATGGAAACAGTGGTACCAATAGGATAGTGAACGAGTCTTTGGCCCAAGTTAATGGAGGTCAGTTTTAGATTAACTTTGATAATTATAATCAGAATTATGTTTACTTTGTTTCATTTATCCCTGATTCATTCTATGTGTGCAGGATGATGATGTTGCTTGGTGGATCGAATCCGGAGAAACGAACCATGTATGCATGGATAAAATGATGTTTGAAACATTAACTCCACTTGAAGATGGCTCAATGCTAAAAATGGGAGACAATTCTTTTATTCCTATTTGCGGTTTAGGTGTTGTGTGTCTTAAATTTACTTTTGGAAAGACGATTAGGTTATTTGATGTTTTGTTTGTTCCCAAGATTCACAAGAATCTTATTACATCTAGTTGTTTGAATTCTGATAGTTTTAAACAATTTATTGAGTCGGATAAGTTTGTTTTGTCTAATTGTGGAATTTTCATTGGCTTTGTATATTTAAATAATATAATGCTTCATTTGAATATTGTTGACAAATTATTACCTGATCAAAATTCTGCATTTGTATCTTCAGCTTCTAATGTTGATAAATCTATGCTTTGGCATGTATAATTAGGTCATATCAACTTTAGAAGGATGCATGAGATGTCAAAATATAGACTAATTCCAACATTTGATATGACATCATATAATTGTAAAACATGCATTCTTATAGAAGTAACAAAACAACATTTTCGTACTGTTACTAGAAATTCAACTATTTTGGAACTTTTACACAATGACTTGTGTGATTTTCACTCCACTCCTTCTTTGGGAAATGAAAAGTATGTAGTCACCTTTATTGATGACTGCACTCGATTTGCTATGTGTATTTGTTACATTCTACGGATGAAGCCTTAGATAAATTCAAAATATACAAAAACAAAGTGGAATTGCAATTGGGCATTATGGTTAAACGTCTCAGTATTGATAGGGGAGGTGAATATATAGATCCCATATATTTTCAATCAGTGGGTATCATTCATGAGACCACAACACCTTACACACCCTAACAGAATGGTATTGCTTAATGCAAAAATTGAGTTTTAAAAGAAATGGTTAAATCGATGTTATGATATTCAGGATTGAGTGAAGGATTATGGGGAGAGGCTATGTTAACGGTCTGTTATTTATTAAATAGGGTTCCAAATAAAAGGAACAAAATAGTCCCATATGAACTTTGGTTCAAGAAAAAGTTGAATTTGAGTTATTTTTGGGTTTGGTGATGCCAGGCAGTTGTAAAACTCACCGAGCCCAAAAAGAAAATTTTGGGACAACGTGGAATTGATTGCATATGCATTGGATATGCTGAACATCCCATGTTATATAGGTTTTATGTAATAGAACCTAATGATTCGGTTTCAATTAACACTATTATCAAATCACATGGTGCAACTTTTGATGAGAGATTGATTCAAAGTCCTAAAGATTTGACTTTTGGTTCTAATAAAGTGAAAAATATAGAAAGTCAAGATGGTGGTATCATGCAAGAACCACAAGAGCTTCATAGAAGCAAAAGAAGCCAAATTGCGAATTTTTTTTTGGATCCGCCTTCCAATTGTATTTCGTGGGAAGATGGCGCAACTATTCATCATGAGATGCGGTATATAATCACCTCCTTCTCCCCCTTTTTTTTCAAAAAGAAAAAGAGGATTAGAACAGGGTATCTTAATGGCTTGTGAGTTCTTATATTTGGCGTTTGTTTTTACAGGTGCTGAAGCCGATATTTCCTTAGAGATGGCACTACGTGGTCACTATCGGGGTAAGCTTTGCCACCAGGAGATCGATCTTGTGGAGGCTCTTCCCCCTCTCGCATTTGAATAATGCATGCAAGAGTTTTTTGGATTGATCTCGGAATAAGGGGAAAATGTTGGCTCCAGCGGACCCGCCTCGCCTTGCCAACCGACTGTTAGGGTTGTTTCACCAGTTCGTTTACCGACTCTAGGTTCTTTCGGTTTGTCTGTGGGGGTACAAGCATAAAAAGGTATTTCCCATATTAAAAAATTATGAAGTTTACGCATGGTGCCATCGTCAGACGAGGAAACTGAATCTGATGATGCAGGCCTCCGTCCTCGCAAGATACATAAGATTGTTTCTATGGCCAAGCTTCCTGGTGGCATCGATGATGTTCTTGGTGACAAGTTTTCTGTGCCTGGGCAGAAAGAGAGAGTGGTGGTGTCTGGTCCTTCAGTGATTCAACCTTCTCCGTTTACTAGTTCATTCCCTATTGATATTGGTTCTGGCTCTATTTTGGGGGGGGTGTATCGGGCTCACCTAGAGGTTCTTCCCTACCGGAGAAGCCTACTACGATGTGTGAAGTAAGAACTACATCTAGCTCCTTGTTTCATGAAGCCTATACTCCAGGCTGGGCGATTACTAGGGATTCATACTGTCGGAAGACATGATCACCCAGGAATGGAGTAGTTGTGCTCACCCTTAGCTATAATGAGGTTTCTTGTAGGCCAATTGAGCGCTCGTATGGTCAGTGACCTTCGTTATGTGGCGAATCAGGCTTCTGGCCTTATAGTTGTTCCTGCCGACTAGGTTTGCTGGCGGTGTAAATGAGACATAGGTAAAAAATTTGCAATGTGCCATGGCATAAGGGAGGAGCTCTATGATTCAGAGGCTCAACGTCGAGTACTTTCATAGCATAATTGTATTATGGCCTTCGAGAAGGCTGTTTTGGAAGATCATGTGGCCACTTTGGAGGGCCAAACAGAACGAATCAAAAGTTAAGTGAGCTCTCTTACTCAGGAGAAAGGTGTGCTAGCGAGTGAGTTGGCTAGGTGCCAACGTCAACTGCCAGTGCCCATGTTGATGGTGTTGTTACCCGAGGCGGTTTTAAATGGATGTTGGAGAAAGGGGTGGTTCACTTAATTGATAAAGTTATCGACAACGTAGAATTTTCCAGCGCAATCCAGGGTGTTTGTAGGGAGTGTGAGGCCCTTGGGTTTGAGAAGGGGAAGCAACTAGGTGGTTGTTCTACAATTTCTGGTCAATCTAAAGCCTCAAATCCTGGCCTTGTGACGAGAAGAACCGCAGAGGTGGATATTGCTCTTTCGTCCCTTGTTGAGATGGATTTTGCGAGCCTCTTTGGTTTGGGGGAACTAAATTATGACAGCTTCTGCCAGTTTTGTTGCAGGCCGGGCCCTGGAGGTTCTTGCTAAAACTCCGAGGATTAATTTTTATTTGTCCCTTCTTTTCATTCTATAATGTAGTTGGATTTCTACATATTATATGTATAGTGAAAAACAGTGGTTGTTAATAAAAGGTTGTTGGGATTAAAATCCTAATTGTGATTTGATAAACAAGATGCAGAAAATAAGAACAAATGCAATTATGAAGATATGTTGAATGATCACTCAATTTATTCATAACATGTGGAATAAATTACACTTTTAGAATAGACTAAAGAATCTATCTCTACATAAGAAACCTTACAATGTTTGGCGGCTACATTTTGCCTCACTCTTAACCCTAATTATGAATAATACATGACTATTTATAGGGAAAAGGACAAGTCTTGGGATTTTAACCTACACTTCATTAAGGGGCCCATTGCTATAATCCATGGAGTACATTGAACCCTACATTCTCCCCTAAAGGTATGGAATGGATGACAAGGCTTCAACTTCCAAAAAAGGCATCTAGCAAATAAGAAAAGATCTCACGACGAGGAATATTTAAAGCAATCCACGAATCTTGATTCTTCAATAGTCTCCAAAAACGAGTTCTAGGATATATATATATATATATATATATATATATATATATATATATATATATATATATATATATATATATATATATATATGAACCAAGCACTGAAGTAATGTTTTAAACTTCATTTTCTAATGTAATCCCAAAGACCTTCAATAAAGCCGAACCCGCCATAAAAAACCATTTAAGAATTAAGAAAAAAAATCAATTCTTGTCTTTGAATAACTCCCCCTCCACGTCACAATGATCTTCAAATAAGCTAGTCATATAAGCCACCAAAAAAATCATGTAATAACACAAATTTAAGATTCGTAACACCACTTGATCGAGAAAATACTAGAAGTCAGAGATATATCAAGGCCTTAGAAGAGCTCAATGAAGAACTTGTAAAACTCGATATTAAGTATCAATCGAAGTCACGAGAATTGGTGCGGAATCCCAATCAAGAGATTAAAGCAAAATAGTTATTATGAATGAAGAACACAGTTATCAGATCTTCAATGTACACTATATTCACGAATAGCCTAGTACATAAGATTCTCAATGGCTCTCGATTCTCTCTTTCTCTATGAAACACGATCTCAACTCCTTAGAATGACTAATTGACTAACAGCCTCATTTATGGCTGATAATACCTTATATACTAAAACCTAATAAGAATCCTTAACAAGCCCAAGCCCAATAGAAATCCTATAAGCCCAACGAAATCTCAAGGTGATTTCAGTCCAAACACCACCGAGAATATGGAGAATTTTGTCTTGGACCGAGAACACTAAAATCCAACAATAGTAAAGTATAAACCATTAATTATGTCCTAACAATCTCCCCCTTAGTTTATAACTTTATTTTCTTTTTAATCTTCTATTTTTTCATGACCTTCAACATTTATATTCGATTTCTTCACAACTTCAAGATGAACATATGAATTTATGCATGAATGAATTCATCTTGAATAGTTGAACTTCCTATAAAAATTGACTTTGAACGCACATAGGGTAAAGAGGCTTCTTATATAGGTTCTTGAAAATCAGCACTTTCAGCTTTGAAAAGCTTCAGAGATAATTACAAAGAGACCGATTCTTCTAGATCACTTCTGTAAGTTCATAGATATCAACAAATTGATTGAGGAGGCTTCAAAGAAATTCATCACATAACTTCAAAAACAGCTTCACCTTGCTTCTAGGGTTGAAAAGTTATGTGTTGTAAAAGAATCTTCAATTCTTGTTCCTTCGAATAAATATTCTTTTTTGATCACATATGTGTCTTAAAAGTAACCATGACCAAAAAGTCCTTGTAGATCACAAAGTCATAAAGACCCTTCTCACCATAGTTGTTCAAGGACCCATCCTTGGCTCAGATAGAGACTACTCGTAGTATCTATGTGAACACGGTGAAACGCACTACGATTTGTGAGTATCAGAGAACTAGTCATGGCTATTTTTTATGATAGCCCCTGCATATCCTCGATCAAAGATCTCAATATAGTTTTTCAAGTAAACAAGCTAACTTCGCCATTGGCTAGACGTTCAATGGTTTCTGAATCTCATCTGAGTGTACTGTTCTAGTGCCAGTGAGAGCTAATTTGGAATAACTCACAAAACCATTCAGTGACAAAAATATCCGAAGAGATATTTCCACAGTTTAGCATGACACAAGGTCAAGGCCTTTTTGGTGTGACATTTAGTGATAATCGTGCCTTGTGATGTGCATCGTCATAGTCTCAATAACAATTAATTCCTTACCTGTGGAGAACATATCCGAGAATACATTGGATTCTTCGCAATTATGCATGACACAAAGAATGTCAAGATCCTGGGAGGGATGTTCAACGATATCTATTTCCCGTTTGGATGAATCGCCCTAGTGCCATGACGGTTCTTAGGTAAAGATAACTAACAAGACCAATTTGACAATTTGTATAGTTTCACACTTACAATTCCTTAGATACGACAGATCTTAAAGAGATATTGCCTAACATACATTTTGTATAGTTTCATCCTTTAATTTCGTGAATACGAAAGTTCTTAGAGAGAAACTGCCTAACTGACAATTTGTATGGTTTTCAGAGATTATATATATATATATATATATATATATATATATATATATATATATATATATATATATATATACTTTTTCTAAATATATTTTTTAAAATGCGTTTTAATTGGTTAACATGATTTTATAGAAGTTGATTCATCGAAAAATTTATCCAAAAAAAAAAAATTAAGTGCACATCATAAAATAATAAGTTTTCTCATGCACATTTCATTAAACTTATTGGCTTAATTTAGATTTTAGGACAAAATGAGTCTTACTATTCTTTTGGGAAACATTTTTATTTTTATGTTTTTTTGTTAGATTAGGAGTCTTTTGTGTGTAGTATAAGGCCATCTCGAGTAGAAGTTGAATGAGAAGTTGAAACTCATTAAAGTTTAGATCCCTATGTAGGTTATGACTTCACATTTAATAAAACGAGGAGTTTAATCTCATTAAACTCTACATTCTCTTTCCTCTCTCTCTCCCCCCCCCCCACACACACACACATATATATATATATATATATATATATATATATATATATAGAGAGAGAGAGAGAGAGGGAGAGGGAGAGACAAGTTCAATTGATAAATTAAAAAAGATTGAGAATGGGAAAATCATTCTCAGTCACTCATTTATTTTGGCTCAAAACCTCCGTTGTACGACTGGAAAAGGGAAAGGAATACACTTGTGTTTTCCAACAAAACATGTCTCCTTAAAGTATGCTAATTATTATCTTAATATATAAAATAACATAGTCTTTTTTCGTTTTTTTATTTTTAAAAACCTGTTTTTATCAAAGATTTTAAATATACCAATTCATGAGTGAATAAAAAATTTATTTATTTGATTTATTCATCTATCGTTATTCATAAGTGAATAAAAATGCATCAGAATTTTAGTACAGCACATTCGTTATTCGCTTATAAATAAAAAATATAATAAATTTTTTATTTATATAAATTAAGTATCATTCATATATAAATATAATATATAATAAATTCTTTTTTGCCTACATCAACCCTCCTCACATGTTATATTCACATATGCATGAAACGTGATTTTCTCACAAGTTAAATTAATATACGTGCACATTCTATCTAATTTTTTTCGAATATCATTACAGAAACGTTTTTAAAATGATGAAGTTTATACTTCTAGTGTGTTTTTCGATATAAGATAAACTCTAAAACTAGGTTTGAAAAAGTGATGCTAACGAACTTAAAAATGTTAATAATCCTGATGGGTATATATATATATATATATATATATATATATATATATATATATATATATATATATATATATATATATAAAAGAAGTATAAAACGTCATGAACTATTTGGGAACCATTTTTCATTAAGGGTATTTTTGTCTATTCTAATAATTTGATTTCTCTAAGTTTTGATAATTAGTGAAAAAGCAAAAAGGGTATAATGTTCATTCGTATTTCTAACATCTAAGTTTGATCATATTTCAAACACTTTGAAGCTTTTTTTTGGCAAAAAAGTCTCTTAAACTCTCTCACCAACCCAAAGCCTAGCACTATATATCCCACCACCACCGCTACTACCCACTAATGTTGATGCCGACCCAACAACTTTTGCCGAAATGTCGAGTTAGAAACGTGTTTTCGCTTTAGATCTGGAAGCACTGTTAAAAACAATCTCCATAAGATGTTTCCACTTCAGATTCATTATTGACTGTTGCATCATCGCATGTCATCTTCGGTAGCGTGATTCTAGTGACTTGCTTTTATGCCTTTGATCAAATCTGTTTATATTTGCATTGTTATAGTGGTTCTTTCTCGTCCCTGAACGTGTTCCTAGTCCAAATCTAGTCATATCTAGAACCTCCGCCTTGAGATCTACCTTTTCTTCGCTAGAACACTACAAAAGCCACAATCTAATGTCATAATTCTGATTACCTTTCTGAATACTTATTACTCAAAACTGGTTAGATCTAAAAAATTATGGTGGCTTTTTTTCTCTTCTCTTATCATGTTCCTAGTCTGGATTTGTTTAGTTCTAGTCAGATCTAGAACCTTCGCATTTAGATCTTCCATTACCACCACCTCCGCCTTCAGATATGACATATCACTTTGTCAGAAAACTAGAAAATGCCACATTATACTTCGTCGGTGATAGATCTATGATCTTCATTGAAAATTATGCAATTTATGCCTTTAGATCTACGATTTATGCATCCCGATCTACGAGCTCCAATGAGATTGACAGACCAGATTTGAGACCACCGTCAACTACCACCACCGTTGTTGGCTCACCTCTTTGGTGAAATACAGCCAACTCACATCCATCTATTTCTCTTTGATATCCAGCGATACACCACTAGATCTACATCAGGTATGTCAATTTTATTTTGAGGTGTTTTTTCTGATGTTAAGCTG